ATACAGAAAGCCTTAAAAACTTTATTAATAAATAAAGACAAAGATATAAACAACGTAATGATACAGAAAGGTTTAAAAATTTTATTATTAAATAAAGACAAAGATATAAACAAGTAATGCTGCAGAAATGTTTGAAAACTTTATTAATAAATAAAAACAAAGATATAAACAACGTAATGCTACAGAAAGGTTTAAAAACTTTATTAATAAGTAAAGACAAAGATATAAACAACATAATGCTACAGAAAGGTTTAAAAATTTTATTATTAAATAAAGACAAAGATATAAACAAGTAATACTGCAGAAATGTTTGAAAACTTTATTAATAAATAAAAACAAAGATATAAACAACGTAATGCTACAGAAAGGTTTAAAAACTTTATTAATAAATAAAGACAAAGATATAAACAACGTAATGCTGCAGAAAGGCTTAGAAACTTTATTAATAAATAAAGACAAAGATATAAACAACGTAATGCTACAGAAAGGCTTAAAAACTTTATTAATAAATAAAGACAAAGATATAAACAACGTAATGCTACAGAAAGGCTTAAAAACTTTATTAATAAATAAAGACAAAGATATAAACAACGTAATGCTACAGAAAGGCTTAAAAACTTTATTAATAAATAAAGACAAAGATATAAACAACGTAATGCTACAGAAAGGCTTAAAAACTTTATTAATAAATAAAGACAAAGATATAAACAACGTAATGCTACAGAAAGATTTAAAAAACTTTATCAATAAATAAAGACAAAGATATAAACAACGTAATGATACAGAAAGGCTTAAAAACGTTATCAATAAATAAAGACAAAGATATAAACAACGCAATGCTACAGAAAGGCTTAAAAACTTTATTAATAAAGAAAGACAAAGATATAAACAACGTAATGCTACAGAAAGGCTTAAAAACTTTATTAATAAATAAAGACAAAGATATAAACAACGTAATGCTACAGAAAGGTTTTAAAACTTTATTAATAAATAAAGACCAAGATATAAAACTGACTATTACAAGAAAGTTTTAAACTATTTAGTTTATACTTCCATACAAGTACTTCTTGTTTTATGTGTTTCTATATAAAACAAATGAATATTCCAAACTCTTCTATCTTTATGATGTTTGTTTACGAAAGTAAAAATTAGTAAAACACTCAAACTTTGATGAATGAGTGTTTAAAATGAGTCTTTAAACAAGAGGGAATCCTCAATAGCTGAGGCACTTAAGTTTCTTTTAGTCTGCCTATTATCATTATTTTTATTATCTATATTTTTGTGCGCCAGCAATACCAAGCATGTGGCGCGCATATACCCGATTCAATTTTATTACTCATCGGGTTCTCTACCAGCCTACCCTCAAATTAAAATTATTTTAGGCAGGATTAGAATAAATTAATCTATGAGACCTTGGGCGTGTTGAAATCGAAAGGGTTTGACCTCCTCAGTCGAAAATTAGATCTCAAATCGGTCAAAAAATGATAGAGCTATAAGTTAAAAGTTTATACTTGAAGAAAAACAAAAAACACTCAGGGCCATTCTATGAGCCGATATGCCGCGGCTAAAATTGATTTATTGACGTTTTGAATATTTTACACTCACCCTGAGGAAAAACACAGTCCACTCTGACACGGAAATGCTGAAACAATAAAAAGATAAAACTCACTTAAGAAGCTGGAGGTTATACATTACATTAATAATTGAAAATCTTCAGTGATGTGCTGCCATGGTAACACGTAGTTTATTAAACGGCATATTATAAGCTGAATCAATATTGTTTTTATGATCATACTTCGTCGAAAGAATAAGATCACTTGGTGTTATTTGTGAGGTTCAATGGTACATGATGTTGAATTGTTAGATGTTTAAGACATTTAGAAAACTTATCTGGGAAATGTATAAAATATTTGGTGCTCTTGAAAGTATTCATTATAAAATATAAAATACATTCTAGTACAGTCCATTATCAGAAACAGGGTTAGACAACACATTATAGTACAGTCCATTATCAGAAACAGGGTTAAACAACACATTATAGTACAGTCCATTATCAGAAACAGGGTTAGACAACACATTATAGTACAATCCATTATCAGAAACAGTGTTAAACAACACATTCTAGTACAGTCCATTATCAGAAACAGGGTTAGACAACACATTATAGTACAGTCCATTATCAGAAACAGGGTTAGACAACACATTATAGTACAATCCATTATCAGAAACAGTGTTAAACAACACATTCTACTACAGTCCATTATCAGAAACAGGGTTAGACAACACATTATAGTACAGTCCATTATCAGAAACAGGGTTAGACAACACATTCTACTACAGTCCATTATCAGAAACAGGGTTAGACAACACATTCTACTACAGTCCATTATCAGAAACAGGGTTAGACAACACATT